TACTCTCCTACCGCTACTACTACAACTACTACTACCACTCCTGCTACTACTACTACTGCTACTACTACTGCTTCTAATACAACTAAAGCTACTACTGCAAAATATTATTATTATTATTTTTTTTTTTAGCAATGTGAGTAATTACGGTTAGGATAAACCTCGAGATTTAAAAGGGGAAAGATGGCAAAGGCGATGATGATGATGATCTTTATGATGTTGGTGATGATGATGATCTTTATGATGTTGGTGGTGATGATGATGATGATGATGATGATGATGATGGAGGTTTGTAATGTTGATGATGATAATGATGATAATCTTTATGATGTTGTTGATGATGATGATCGTTATGATGTTGGTGATGATGATGATGATACAGGTTTGCAATGTTGATGATGATGGTGATGAGGTTTGTGATACATTCATATATATATATATATATATATATATATATATATATATATACCACACACAGGCACACACACATACATAAATACATACATACACACACACACACACACACACACACACACACACACATACAAATGGTTGTTAAATAAATACTGTTATATTGCTGGTTCTTCACCATTCTACGACGGTTACCAAATGAACCACATAGTTTGTTCTTGGGGAATGTCTTTCTGTTTCTCTAAACTCGCTCGCTTTAAGTAACTTGAAATTGTATCATGTACATAAAATAACGAGAGATGACTCTAATTGACGACTTGGGTGTGTTGTTGGGTATTAGTTAGTGTTTTAAAATGTTATAAAGTTTAATGATCGAGATCCAACGAGAAACGGCTCACCCATCATTGTTAATAGTAGTAGTAGTAGTAGAAGTAGTAGTAGTAGTAGTAGTAGTAGTAGTAGTAGTAGTAGTAGTAGTAGTAGTAGTAGAAGTAGTAGTGGTAGTAGTAGTAGTAGTAGTAGTAGTAGTAGTAGAAGAAGTAGTGGTAGCAGCAGTCTGTTTTCATTAGTTTAATTCATCAATACTTACGTCATTATGATGAGCGATTCACAGGGGATATTTATTTTATGTAAATAATTCAAGGGATCTCTGCGTGGAGAAAATCACATGCGATAACTCAACAGATGTTGTTGTTGTTGCTGATGTTGCTGTTGATGTTGTTGTTGCTGATGTTGTTGTTGATGATGTTGCTGTTGATGTTGTTGTTGCTG